TTGTCACTTATTATCACTGTAAATAAACTACCACTGTCTGCACCGAAGTCAGCCACCTGGGTCCGTCTAATTTTTGTGACTCGCTCGCTTCTGTGTTCGAGTCACCTTAACATTACCTGTAGGTCGCTACATTACAATACACAGACAATCTGCCTTTCTCCAACACCAAATGATTATTTGCCAGTCAGGTGTAATTTAACTGATTTACTCCATTGTCATGTCTGTTTACATTCATTATGCCATGCAGTGATGTTTGCAAGTGTAAATCCAAACCCACCCCAAATTGTAGTAAAGATCCCATCATTTGTAAGGGCACAAAATATGATGGCAATTTTTGAACAAAATTCATAAAATGTGGGAGAAAAGGTGCACAAGATATTTATAATGATTTAATTTGACTGAATGGTGCAGACATAAGACAGAGTCTTGAGTTTGAATATTTTAAGCTCAGTATTTCAGTTTAAAACTTATAGAGATTTGATGAAGAGTTGGAACAAGATCAGAAAAAGATGACTTTTTCAACCTGAAAGCTGTTTAGGGGGGAATACAGGGTCTATGGTGGTGGTGGGGTATTTTAATGTATGAGTATGTTAATATTTTTGGATCTCTTTGTAACAGTAAAGATTCATGACAATGTGGGAGTGGTTCTGATATGATGACTGACAATGCTGGTAACATAAGCAAACAACCCAGCAACAGATTTTTGATCCAAATGTTGATTGGTACATGCACATATATGACTTCAGTAAAAGCCTCCTACATCAAACAAATGAGAAGAGCAGAGACAAAAAAAATCTTTCTGAGTATCTGAGCTCAATGCTGCTGTTATCTGAACCATTTTTTCTGATGTTATCAGTTGTGTAGGACTTGATTTTGCTGCAATTTAGCAAATGAGTCTCTTAATGTCAAATTCCAAACACCAAGGTAGAATGTGAGCTACAAAAGCTGCTCTGTGGCCCACACCTTGTTTTTAATGGAGTCCTTCCTCCATTCTGCCAAACAACAGACAGACGGAGAGAGCCACACACCAGCACACACAAGCGCACACAGACACACACACAAGGGCACCAGCAGCCCATCAGGCACACCTGCCATAGAAGGTTGATGGGAAAATATATTCCACACAGACGACGTGATAACAGAATCATTTCACGCTTCACTGAGTCTCTGCACATCCTCTCTACGTGTATGCATGTGTGTGTGGTTGAGCACCAGCATGCACATCTATTACAATGCTGGCAGGTCATATGTACTAAACGTGCCATGAGAAACCGCTTCTCACATATTTCCATATGATGAGCCCTGGGGCTGACTTGAATGGCAACACGGATGAAGAAAGGGAACAGAAAGACACTTCAGGACATCACAACTCATAGTGTGATGCATGTATTTCTGTGATGGAACACCACTGAACATACTGTACCGACTGTAACCTCATTAACAGAGATCAGCATTAACAAAACAAATCACCATCATGGTGCCATAATGACCTCATCTGTGGTACATGTACTGTATATATAGGTTTGCATGTTTATGTGCACAACTGATAATCATGTTACTGAATCCGCTGGCATGCATGTTTATGAAGCATCTATGCAGGTCTATTAGTGTGATGTGGCCTATGACAATCCATCCTCATGCCTCACAGCCTCTGGCAGGCTGAAGGCTAATAATAAATGCAAATTACAATCAAAGGAGCAGATCGGAGCTGGAGAGGATAATTGCTCCATTAGGCTGTGTGTGTGTGTGTGTGTGTGTGTGCGTGCGCGTGTGTCTTGTATAACACAAAGGTAGAGTGGGGTTAGCAAATGCCAGCTGTTGACGTCACAAACAGACTGCATAATGGGACAAGTGAAATGTGACAGAGATTGATTTATTTGTTGGAAAAAAGTCCACTTTTCCAGTAGGAGGGCCAAGTAAGGCTAATTAAAATGTGTTTGATATAACAGCAAGTCCGTTCATTCATCCTTCCATCATCTACACTGCTTCTGCTTCACTGGGTGAGAGGTGGGGTACACCCTGGACAGGTCCCCAGTCTATCACAGGATAACTACACAAGTTCACAAGCTGCTCGTCAATGCCACCATCAGTGATAGAAATGCAAACTGTGATATGCTGTAAAGTCAATGTCATTTACATAGAAGAAAATGTGGTAGTTCCACAATTTTTCATTTCATTTATTAAGATCCTCATTAGCTTCATCAAAACAGAGGCTATAGTCCTTTTTCACAACAGTCGTTTTATCTTGTCATAGTAGGACAAGAGCAGGTGCTTCTCATAACGTTAATCATGGTTCTGTTTTATTCAAGTGTTCCAGTAAGCCATGACAGTGTGACAGCAAACCAGCATGCAGGATCCTGCAACTGAAGCAGCTACAATTAATTCAGCCATCGTTCATTTTATTTTTTAAACATGTGTTTTTATTATTAACACATGTCCAAATGTCTTCAGTGAAAATTGGTGGGATGGTGATTTGGATTCTAAGCACATACAATATCCCTTAACCGAAAAAACTCAAAGTAATATTTCACCATACCGTAACACTGACTCACAATGTACTGTTCAAAACAAGACATCATGATATCATGCTGATCCCGACTTAGTAACCAAACTATTTCTGATACATTAAGCTTGTAAAACTGTCTGTTGGCCAAGATCAGCTTCAATCCATGTCACCAGCACTTGGCGTTGAGTGTTTGCTCTCAGATAGCAAACCAGAGAGGAACAACTTGTTGAAAGAACATTTTAAACTTGCTTGTGCTTCTCCTTTCAGGTAAGGCCTTTTAATCTGATTCATACTTATCCATTAATTTCCTTAATTAGAGGTCCAGGAAATTGTCTTCACCTCTCCATCTTCTTTCCTTCCTTACACTGGGTGGAAGCGCACGCACACACACACACACACACACACACACACACACACACACACACGTGTAAAGAATCACATGTGACACATCAGTTTATTGTATTTGCTCTATTAAAATACTCTTGTTTGTGTCCTCATAAGGGGTCATTTTTTATTTCTGCTAATGCTTATATTATTACACATGCTTTGTTTTTAATGTGAAACCTATTTATAAAAATGACTCAGCCTCTAGCCTTTTTTTATGTGTGTGTGTGTTTGATATTACTCACAGTGTAGGGATTGAGACCTGTTTACATACGACACTGTGTGTCAGGGCC